AAAGCCCAATTAAGCATACTCATAGTAAAACATAGGTATAGTTATGCCTAGATCTGTATCAAGTGTTAAAAATTGCATTGATGTGGCTACATCAGTGCCACCTAGGTACATGAATGTGAAGGAGGATGCAGCTCTAAGCGATGTAACAAACTCAGACAAATGAAATCTGGGGCAAAACTGGAATTTGTTCCCACGTTTTCTAACTCCTACTTCAAAATTTGACCCTGACCCTTCAGAACCTGCAAACAGTATTTATAACAGTAATGGCAGTACTATGGCCAATGTAGTCATGTATTCTTACCCATGAGAGTATTGGCAAAATTTCTAAGGTGCATATTTCTGCATTATCAGAATGCTAATATCTCATTTTTGGCATGAATAAAGAAAAAAGCTATTGACTCATTAGAAAATATAGACATTAAATTAAATATGCATTATCATGTCTGTTGTAACTATATCCTTAATATTAAAATAAATATCATAGACCATACATTAGTGATAATTGATTGTCAGGGAGATAATAAAAAAAAAATCCCTTCTTTATGTCCCAGGAAAAGGTGGAAGTTGAAAGATGTCTTTATTGTTGGGGTATATATAGGAAATCTGTTTAATGACATTTCACATCCTTTTCGGTCACCCTTGGTTTGGGGTTTAACTACAATTCTGTTCTCTCCCAAGAAATGTTGCTTGCAATGTACCTTGCTATGCGAGGCGGTTTTGTTCCTGCACTTTACGTGTTGAAGTTCCCACACAGTTCCACTATCATATAAACTTCATGCCAGATGCTCAGAAGTATATATTAGCATTTATGGGCTTACGTGGATGGATGGGAGCTGGTGAAGCATTTAAGCCTTACTAATAAAAGGCCTTGATCCTACTCACAATTTACTATCAAGAGCAACCCTTTGATTCTGTGTGTGCTGGCAGTACTGGGGCCTGTGTGCTCAATGCCCTATTCTCTTCCTCTTTAGAAATTTGGAGGCTTTCTTTGTTTCCATGTAGAGTGTCTTCTTCCTCCCCCTCTTCTTCCCTAGACAGAGGTAGGGCAAGCTTCCCCTACTGGAAAGCATTGGAGATGTAATTCCTACAGTTACTAGATCCCTTATGATGGTAGAAAATCCATGGGGGCCCTTTTGTTCCTATGCCATACATCTTTTAATTGGCATTTTCCATATCCAGCCACTCCAACTCCCTGTCAGTGGGAGTGATAGCGTTCCAGGGACCTTCTACCTGGCTGTATCCACCATAATCACTGACACCAAGAAGGGAGGAAGACTGATTTCCAGCCGACAAAGATGAATATTAGGGCTGTGCAAAATGGCACCGTTCCATTTTGCCTTGAGTTTTGAGGTTTTGACGAAACAGCATTTTGTATCGAGTTTCATTTAGATTCAAAACAGCTGTTCCATTTTGCTTCATCAAAACAGTGAGGCTGTTTCGACTCTGTTTTGACAGTTTGCTAGATCAGCCCTTCCGGACTGACTTCCCATCACCAGCGCTAGATCAGGACGGAGACAGGGAGTCAGCCTGATCTAGCGCTGGGGTTCTAGCATGGGGGACCCTCATCCCCCAGCCAGATCTAGTGCAGGAGATGGGAAGTCAGACCAGCTGGATTGACTTCCATCCTCAGCGCTATGGTCAAAATGTTTCAACTTTTGAAACAATTCGACTAGCCACAATTGTTTCGAGGCTGTTTCAAAGCTGTCTGTTTAATTTCAATTTTGCTGTTTCAACCTCGAAATGAGTCAAAACAGTGTCAAAATGAAACAGCCAGCAAAATTTTGCACAGCCCTAATGAATACACAAAATTTAAATTCTGGAGAGCAGACAGCTCCCAGACTTGAACCATGTTGTTGTCAGCTGTGAGGCCCAACCCCCAACTCTGCCAGAAATTCCCATGTAAGGGACTTTGAATTGCAAAACCAAGACATAACTTCAAAGATCATCTAATCTAATTCCCTGCACAGTTGCAGGGTGCACTATTCCTAAACCATCCTACACAGATGCCTATTCAGCCTCTTCCTAAAAACCTCCAATGAAGGAGATGCTACAACTTCCATGGCAAGCTTGTCCCTTTGTCCTAACAGTAGTTCTTAGGAAGTCACTGAGGTACACTGTGGGAAGGGAGGATGGGACAATGCCACTGTATCCCAGATGATCCCTTTTGGCAGTGACTACTGTGGCTACAGCGGTGCAAGCAACCAGAGGCCAGCAAGTGCAAGCAGTGGTGGGACAAGTTGTGGTGGGTTGGGCACAGCCCTCATTTGTGTCCTGCTACCAAAGGCAAAGTGCACTGAGGCCCAATGTTGGGTGGATTAGACCTCTTGGGTGATTTGAAAGAACATTGGATTGTGGAAACCTTGTATGAGGTTCCTAAACAGGCTTAGGGAAGAGGTGCTGAGTTGCTCAGATCCAGCAAAATGGTAGCAAATCATGGCATGCCCAGAAACAGAAGTGTGGGCACCTAGAGAACTTTACAGGTTAAAATGCATGCATCCTAGACATACATAGCTGTCCAAGGGGCTAGATAGCCTTCTGAGGGTCACATCCTTGGATTGAAGTCCCTATATCCTATCTATGTTCCATTTGAGGCACTTCAGGGTTTTGGGGATCTGGAATCTCTGTGCTTCTATTCCTCAACAACATTGTGGATAATACCAGTTCCCTACCTGAGAGGGTACAAAAATAAATAGATTACTAACTCTATGGTACTCAGATGCTATGGGAAAAGAAGATGCATACATATGGGAGATAGACAGACAGATAGTTATGCTCTTGATTGGTGCAGATGGGATATAGTCAAACACTTGCACAACATATGCTACACATGAAAAGCTGTGTTGTATGCTGATGCCAGCCTGACTGCAGAGTTCAAGCCACTGCTCATACTATTAAAAGAAGTATCAAGGCAGGGGGCTCACCAGTCAGAGAGAAACCTTCACCCGAGGGAAGGCTTATCTCTTCATCTGCATAACCCAGCTCCATTAAAGTGTGGCCACTTCCCACAGATGTGCTGCTCCAGTTGGAGGGAGTTGGAAGGGTACAAAGTGTGTGCCTGACTGAATTTGAAAATGAGGAAATAAGGCTACATTCATTTCTCATGAAATTTTTGTCACTTTAAATAATATGGGGTTTCTGAGTTTTTGATTATGTATCTTTTTTCTATCAGAGACATGTCCCCTTTTCAAAATATACCTAAATTGCATAGGCTTTCTGCATTTTTTTCCAGGATATTGGTCAAGTAATTGTTTGCAGCACTGAAGCTAGCAGGACAAAGAACTCTTAAAAGGACTTACACACTGTGGAAGCTGGAGAGGAGCTATGTTAAGTATATCACTATGAAAGAAAACCAATGCAAACTGTTTAGCATTGAAAGAATAGTTTAATCAGTAAGACAGACATGGGAAATATATGAAAAGTAATTCAGACAATAGCTCACCATTTCTCATTAAAAAAATTACCCTGATTTAGGCCCTGTTCCATGATTCTTATGTCTTTTAGTACTAGTTAGCAACCTAAATAGGTTCACTGAGCCCTCTTCTCCAACAGTATTTTTTTCCTTTTACCGAGAGCCAGATTTTTTCATTCTTTCTCACGATCAGGAGGTTCCCCACCCATGAATAAATCCATTGATTTCAATAGGTCACATTCTGTTGCCTTAGCTCACTGTGAGGACACTGATGCTATTTGCAGAATAAGGTAACACTGGATCTGAGAAAAAGGGGACAGACTTTATTTCTACAGAGTGCTGGTAGGAACAGCTCTGCTACTTTTATTCCCACTGGGCGCATCTACGTGTACAATTAATGTGATTGAATAAACTGTAGGGCAAATGGCTCCACAGTAAGCTACTCCTGGGTGCAGCATGGCCTGAGGTCTGGGGGGCAGCCCCGGGCTGGTAGGGAAGCACAAGGGTCAGGCCTGAGTGGCGGGTGACTGCATCAGGGGCAGAGCAGCTGACTGGGCCACAAAGCTCCTGTAATTGCCAAGCCATATGCCTAAGCAATAGGAATGAGTGTGGCCCCCTGCTAGCTGGGCTGATAGTAATTTACTTCCAGGTCAGTGCTTACACATGTGTTGCTGTGTAGTAGATAACTCTTCAGTAGGATAGTACTTATATTTACAAGTGCTACCCTGCTGTGGAATAGCTCCTATGGCCTAATCGCACTGCACATGTACATGCAAGACGTTTACAGCAATTGCAGGAAATGTCTTATGTAAATGCACCCACTAAGTAGATCCTGACAGATTGGATTTGCCCTATGGCATCTATTTGGGACTATTTGGGCACGTCTACATTTATGAAAGCTTAAGTTTACTGCGTACTAAGTTATTGCTCAGTGAGCAGGAATAGGCTGGCATCTACATGGGCAGGCATTCAAGTGCATTAATGCCGTGTGTGGACTGACTTGGGACTAAAGTTAGTCTAACAACTAACTTTAGTCTTAAGTAAGCCCACACAGCGTTACTGCAGAGTAAAGCATCTACACATGTGTTACTGCGCAGTAACTAACCGGGCGTAAATTTGATACCTGCGTGATGCAGGTATCAAATATATGCTCAAGTCAGCATAAGTCACCATATGTACTGCACAGTATTAGCATGCACGTGTAGATGTGTGCCTGCACTGTGCAGTCATTTTGGTTACTGCACAGTAAATGTGAATGTGCAGAAGAAGCCTTTGGGCAGAAAGTTGATTTTCAATGTGAACGAAGATGGTGGTACCTCACCTACTGAAATCAATGGGATGATTAGGAGGAACAAGACCTAGACACATATATCTTTGCAGAACAGTCCTTTATATTGCATTTTAAATGGTATTTTGCAGAAGATGATGTTGAAATTGATAGAAAAGTATGATCCCAGTCACCAAAAGTTATTAAACGTTATTGTACCATGTCCAATTTCAACCAAGAAACAACAATATGCCACATTTTTTCAAGAAAGAAATTTAATCAAGGTAGAATATGTAAGTGAAAGCCTCTTTCCTCAGCCTTTACTCGTGTGAGTTACCCCCTGAAAATCAGAAAGGCTGCATTCATAAAAGCTGGTAGATGGACTTCAGCTTTGTAAAAAACACTGATGTCAGCAGATGAATTATCTTAAATGCATGAATCAAACTGGTTATTTGATTTCAGTGGTGCATCGGCAGGAAGCAAGACAGTTATTCTTCACCATAACATGGTCGCATCCATACACCTTTGCCAATCCGGGACAATTTGAGTACACATCTGCATACATGCAAGGATTGGCTAAAAATGACATAAAATTTAAGTTAGACATTATTAAGAGATTAAAAAAATCCCAAACTCTTCTTTTTACAAGTTTTCCTGAATGATGTTATTTTTCCCCATAGTGGTCAAAAAGTTTAACTGCACTCAGAAGTATTATTCAGTCGGTTCACAAGCTGTTGTCACTAGAAGTGAAAGACCCTCCTCCCCTATTAAATGAAAGCTATTGAAACATGGGAAAGTCAGATTTTGAGGTAAAGATTATTGCAATGACCCAAGACTGAAGTGTTGTCCTTTTATTTCCTATTAGACTCTTCAGCGCAAGGATAAACCAGCCACATTTACCAGTCTAATTTATTCTGTTGACAGGATCATTATATTAGATTAGATAGACACTTGGCTAGGATGGTTTAGTCAGGGATGATCCTGCCTTGAACAAGGGGTTAGACTACATGACCTTGTGATGTCCTTTCCAGCTCTACATCCCTATAATCCTATAACCTACCTGGTCATTCTAAACCATGAAAGGGAGGAAGGTGGCATGGGGGAGTTCTTGTGCTTCTTTTACATCTTTGCCCACCCTTGCATCCTCTCATGTAGAGTAGGGGGCAAAACTCAAAACTCACTCCTGTGGGCAGGGTCACACTGTACGCAGCTTGTGGCACATCGGATCCATCACTGCTTTTAGGCGATTTTAGTGGGGTACTGTGTTTGTACTGGCCCTCTGCACTTGACTGAAATTTATCGTCTAGGAGTTCAGTGGCTCATTGTGAATGTAGAGCAGTGTTCCCACCTTTTTAGACTCAGGATATCCCTTGGAAGATGCCATTTCTTAGATTTCTTAATTATGGAAAAAATAATAGAGTAATTTTTTATTTGCCAAGAGCTAAGACAGATCACAATAGGTCAGAATGTTTTTGACACTACAGATCCCTATTTGAAATCTCTGGGTTTATTGTGTGAATCATAGATTCATAGATGCTAGGGTCGGACGGGACCTCAACAGATCATCGAGTC